TTTTTTTTTTTAAATGTAGATTAAAGAAGAGAGGAAAAAAAAACGACGAGCCGGCCTAATTTTTTTTGGCCTGGCTTGGCTCGGCTCGGGCAAAAAAAAACTCGGTCCAAAAAAGTTCGGGCTCGGCTCGAGCTTTTTTTCCCTGCTCGGGCTCGGCTCGACTCGACTCGACTCGACTCGACTCGTTGACACCCCTAAGTTGGGATGGGCTGGGTATGTGCGATATGAAGGGGTTTTGAGAGATGAGTAGAAATGAGAGAAGAATTTTGTAGGTTTTTTGTTTGGTTTGTGGTGAGAGTGAAGTTGAAGATAAGTTTTAAAGGATTGAGAATATGGTCAGTACAAATAAAATATTTTGATGTAATTTTTTTTTTTTTTAAGTTTAGGAACACAAATGTAATTATTCCTTTTTAATTTTTGCAATTTTTACTGTTTTTAATGGTAAAATTAACATAATTGGACGGTATGGGATTTTCGCACAAAATGTTTCAAATGTGAGATTTTCTGTGATTTCTAATAGGTATCACAATTAGAAACCTTTTTAGGGGGGGTTTCTGCTATTAATTCTTTATTTTTTTAAGTAACTTTTTTTTTTAAATAACTTTTTTATTTTATATTTTTAAAATAAGTATTTTAATTGTTTTTAAAATTTATTTAATATAAGATAACGTTTTAATAAAATTAATAAAATGGTGAAAAAAATTGGGTGATCATGATGAAATATTATATGAAATTAATGGCCTGATAAAACATCATATAAAATTGGATAACCATGGTGAAATAAAATCAAATTGAGTGATCTTGACGATACTAAATATAAAGTTTCGTGGTCATGATAAAACAAAATCAAATTTGATATCCATGAATGAATTTAACCCTAAGGGTATGTTTGATAGGCATTATTTTCCTTGGAAGTTAGATAAGGAATTCCATTTTCCTCAAAAAATGGTGTTTGATGGACAAAATTTTACCACCCAAATATTTTCCCGCCCTAGACCCATGCGCCCCCTTTTCCTTGAAATGGATGAAATGGTTCTGTTTTTCAGGTTCATTTTTTTTTTTTTTTTTGGAA